CTTGCCACGAAGCACAGAGGTTGACAACACAGGGACTGGTCCAATTATCCAGCAGTGGTACTGTTCCTTTACCCTTGTGGGTTAATATATGGTAGCTAGACCTTCAAAATTTATGGGTCTTAAACTTGTTAGTGCTGTTTCTTTGCTATTCTTTTTTTGCTATTCTTTTACCTTCTTGGTCAGAGCGATGTAGTGGGAGCTGCAAGCTTCACGTGCTCGACTTTGGCAGAGAACTTTGGCAAAGTTTTATGTGGTACCCATGAGCTATTGTTGCGTGTGGGAAGTGGGTGATTGAACAGTAAGATTCATGTGTTTTCTACTTCCCCAGAAGTCTTCGACAGAATGCCCATAATTTCCGCAAAGCTGAGTGTGCGCGTGACAGGTGCTGACAAGGCTGGAAAAGTAGGTGCCTCTTCGATTTCTGAGATCGGCCCTCGTGGTCTCTGGGGAGCCCAGCTTTTGAGAAAGCGAGCGCCTCTTCAATTTCTGAGACCAGCCTTCGTGGTCTTTGAGCAGCCCAACTTTTGAGAAAGCAAACGCCTCTTAGATTTCTGAGATCAACCCTCGTGATCTCTAAGCAGCCCAGCTTTTGAGAAAGCAAACGCCTCTTCGATTTCTGAGCAGGCGCCTTCTTCGATTTCTGAAGCTCCGTCGAGTGCAGATTTTTATAAGGGCTGACATTAAGTTCCAAAGCACACTTGAATCTCCACCAGTAGAAGCTTCATTCTTGCACTTCTAAGATCTTGATTTGTCCGACCTCTTCTCTCTTCAACACCTTTGAAAATGTCTGGCCCTCCGACCGTCGTTTTGACTTGAACCTTGTTGAAGAGGCAGCCCCGCCTTCTCCAGACAACATATGGCGCCCATCCTTCGTCTCCCCTACTGGTCCTCTTACCGTTGGGGATTCCGTGATGAAGAATGATATGACCGCTGCGGTGGTGGCCAAGAACCTTCTCACTCCCAAAGATAACAGACTACTTTCCAAACGGTCTGATGAGTTAGCTGTTAAGGATTCGCTGGCTCTCAGTGTTCAGTGTGCAGGTTCTGTGTCTAATATGGCCCAACGCCTATTTGCTCGAACCCGCCAAGTTGAATCATTGGCGGCTGAAGTGATGAGTCTCAAACAGGAGATTAGAGGGCTCAAGCATGAGAATAAACAGTTGCACCGGCTCGCACATGACTATGCTACACAAACATGAAGAGGAAGCTTGACCAGATGAAGGAAACTGATGGTCAGGTTTTACTTGATCATCAGAGATTTTGTAGGTTTGTTCCAAAGGCATTTATTGCCTTCGTCTTCTGGGGCTGTACCGCGTAATGAAGCTCCAAATGATCAACCTCTGATGCCTCCTCCTTCTAGGGTTCTGTCCAGTACTGAGGCTCCAAATGATCCCCCTCCGGTGCCTTCTCTTTCTGGGGCTCTACCGACTGCTGAGACTTCTCCTAAGCAACCTTTGTGAAGGCTCCCTCTTGTGTGTTTATTTTGACTCATGTATATGTACATATTTGTAGCTTATCGGGGATATCAATAAATAAGCTTTCCTTCATTTCAACGTATTGTGTTAAATACACCAAAGCCTTCTTCGCTAAGTTCTTTGAATTTTCTTTTGTTGAAGCTTGTATGTTGAAGCTTTCTGAGTGGAGCATGTAGGTTGGGGTAGTGTTCCCTTAATTTTCCGAGTGAGGAAAACTTCTCGGTTGGAGAACTTGGAAAATCCAAGTCACTGAGTGGGATCGGCTATATGAATTTAGAACGCCATTGTGCTCGATCCTGTGTCATGTCCTTCGTTAGATCCAAGTACTCTAAGTCTTTTCTTAGAGTCTCTTCCAAAGTTTTCCTAGGTCTTCCTCTACCCCTTCGGCCCTGAACCTCTGTCCCATCGTCGCATCTTCTAATCGGAGCGTCAGTAGGCCTTCTTTGCACATGTCCAAACCACCGTAACCGATTTTCTCATCTTTCCTTCAATTTCGGCTACTCCTACTTTACCCCGGATATCCTCATTCCTAATCTTATCCTTTCTTGTGTGCCCACACATCCAACGAAGCATCCTCATCTCCGCTACACCCATTTTGTGTACGTGTTGATGTTTCACCGCCCAACATTCTGTGCCATACAGCATCGCCGGCCTTATTGCCGTCCTATAAAATTTTCCCTTAAGCTTCAGTGGCATACGGCGGTCACATAACACGCCGGATGCACTCTTCCACTTCATCCATCCAGCTTGTATTCTATGGTTGAGATCTCCATCTAATTCTCCGTTCTTTTGCAAGATAGATCCTAGGTAACGAAAACGGTCGCTCTTTGGTATTTCTTGATCTCCGATTCTCACCCCTAACTCGTTTTGGCCTCCATTTGCACTGAACTTGCACTCCATATATTCTGTCTTTGATCGGCTTAGGCGAAGACCTTTAGATTCCAACACTTCTCTCCAAAGGTTAAGCTTTGCATTTACCCCTTCCTGAGTTTCATCTATCAACACTATATCGTCTGCGAAAAGCATACACCAAGGAATATCATCTTGAATATGTCTTGTTAACTCATCCATTACCAACGCAAAAAGGTAAGGACTTAAGGATGAGCCTTGATGTAATCCTACAGTTATGGGAAAGCTTTCGGTTTGTCCTTCATGAGTTCTTACGGCAGTCTTTGCTCCTTCATACATATCCTTTATAGCTTGGATATATGCTACTCGTACTCCTTTCTTCTCTAAAATCCTCCAAAGAATGTCTCTTGGGACCCTATCATACGCTTTTTCCAAATCTATAAAGACCATGTGTAAATCCTTTTTCCCATCTCTATATCTTTCCATCAATCTTCGTAAGAGATAGATTGCCTCCATGGTTGAGCGCCCTGGCATGAAACCCGAATTGGTTGTCCGAAACCCGTGTCTCTTGCCTCAATCTATGCTCAATGACTCTCTCCCAGAGCTTCATTGTATGACTCATTAGCTTAATACCCCTATAGTTCATGCAATTTTGTACGTCGCCCTTATTCTTGTAGATAGGCACCAAAGTGCTCGTGCGCCACTCACTCATTTGGCATCTTCTTCGTTTTCAAATCCTATTGAAAAGGTCAGTGAGCCATGTTATACCTGTCTCTCCCAAAAGTTTCCACACTTCGATTGGTATTATCGTCTGGGCCTATTGCTTTTTTATGCTTCATTCTTCAAAGCTACAACCACTTCTTCCTTCCGGATTCGACGATAAAAAGAGTAGTTTCTACACTCTTTCTGAGTTACTCAACTCCCCTAAAGAAGCACTCATTTCATGTCCTTCATTGAAAAGATTATGAAAATAACCTCTCCATCTGTCTTTAACCGCGTTCTCTGTAGCAAGAACCTTTCCATCCTCATCCTTGATGCACCTCACTTGGTTTAGGTCCCTTGTCTTCTTTTCCCTTGCTCTAGATAGTTTATAGATATCCAACTCTCCTTCTTTGGTATCTAGTCGTTTATACATATCGTCGTAAGCCGCTAACTTAGCTTCTCTGACAGCTTTCTTCGCCTCTTGCTTCGCTTTTCTATACCTTTCACCATTTTCATCGGTCCTCTCCTTGTATAAGGCTTTACAACATTCCTTCTTAGCCTTCACCTTTGTTTGTACCTCCTCATTCCACACCACAAGATTCCTTTTGGTGTGGGGGCAAAGCCCTTGGACTCTCCTAATACCTCTTTTGCTACTTTTCGGATACAACTAGCCATGGAATCCCACATTTGGCTAGCTTCCCCCTCTCTATCCCACACACATTGGGTGATTACCTTCTCTTTGAAAATGACTTGTTTTTCTTCTTTTAGATTCCACCATCTAGTCCTTGGGCACTTCCAAGTCTTGTTCTTTTGTCTTACTTCTTTTGATATGTACATCCATCACCAACAAGCGATGTTGATTAGCCACGCTCTCTCCTGGGTATAACTTTGCAATCCTTACAAGTTATACGATCCCCTTTCCTCATTAGAAGAAAATCTATTTGTGTTTTTTGACGACCCACTCTTGTAGGTGATCACATGTTCTTCTCTCTTCTTAAAGAAGGTGTTGGCTAAGAGAGATCATATGCCATTGCAAAATCCAAGATAGCTTCCCCATCCTCGTTTCTCTCCCCAAAACCATGGCCACCATGAAAACCTCCATAGTTGCCTGTCTCCCTGCCCACGTGTCCATTTAAATCTCCTCCTATAAATAACTTCTCCGTCTGAGCAATTCCTTGCACCAAGTCTCCAAGATCTTCCCAAAATTTCTCCTTCGAACTCGTATCCAACCCTACTTGAGGTGCGTACGCACTAATCACATTGATAAGTTCTTGTCCTATTACAATCTTGATTGCCATGATTCTATCTCCTACCCTCTTGACATCTACAACATCTTGTACCAAGGTCTTGTCCACGATGATGCCAACACCGTTTCTCGTTCTATTTGTGCCCGATAATACCAAAGTTTAAACCCTGAGTTTTCTAGATCCTTTGCCTTACTACCAACCCACTTAGTTTCTTGTAGGCACATAATATTTATCCTTCTCCTCACCATAACTTCCACTACTTCCATAGATTTTCCCGTTAAGGTTCCTATATTCCACGTTCCTAAACGCATTTTGCTCTCTTGAACTCTACCCTTCTGTCCTAGCTTCTTCACCCTCCCCCGTCTAATAGGATCAAAGTACTTCTTTTGTGTGTCCCGGGTAAAGTTGATAGGAGCATATGCTCCCAAACAACTTTGAGTGGAGTCGTTCGAAAAGAAGTTTCTATGGCCCCCTTGCTCATTTAACACTGCATCCGGGTGCCGATGGAGATACAGCGACCCTTGCTCACTTATCACTGTGTTCGGGCCACACAGCGCGCCACTTACGGGTGACGCCCTAGCTTTAGCGTGATTTTGTTCTGGATTCATTTTCATAAGGATTCGACGTGATCATGGAGTGCCGGCTGTCGACTACCTGACGCCCTCCCCCTCCTCCTTTATCCGGGCTTGGGACCGGCCATGTAAGACATAGGCGGAGTTTCATAACATTAGTTCAACATGAATGTATTTTATGTTTAACCACTCTAGACCTTACGAGTAACAGAAAGCGTACCTCGCTTTTAATAAAAATTGGATTGGTTGAAATGCTGGCATGACAGCTGTTGCTAGTTACCCTGGTAATAATTAAAAAGAAAAAAGGAGTGGATAGTTTCTGCAAACGGGGATTTTTATTAAGCTTTGATGTGGGAAAAAGTAGAAACAGTGGTAGGGAACCTTAACAAACTTGCAGGAAGGGATTAGGGAAGGAATCAGATTCGCTAACATTGCCAAAAAGAATCCATGTATTACTACTGCTTTGGTTTACTAGTGCTTTCTCCACACGTATTCTTCTCCACCCTCTTCCTTTATATGTGCATATTGTCAAACTTTCTTTGCACAATTCTTCATGTAATTTCATCGACCTCAAGTTAGAAAGAACAAAGATCGATTGATAGGCAGAGGAAGTAAGAAAAATGGAAAAACATTTCAATCTGTTAATGTTACCACTTTTACCAGTTGTTATGTTTCTTTCAGGTATTACCTGTGTAATGCTAGGGAGACCAAATTTCTAAACCAAATGATGTGGATGTTGATGATTGGATTTTACTTAATGTTGATGGACATGCTTATTTCCTATTGGTGACGCATCATTTGGTTTGTAAATTTGGTTTAAAATTTTGGTCTCCCTAGCATTATCCTATTTCTTGATCATATCAATTTTTCTGGTTTATGTTTCTTTCACAGTTTGTGTGGATAATGGCATTGACTAGAATGTAGTATCGGTCCTTTTGTAAACATGCTCAAATCAATATGATCAAAATTCAAAATATTAATCTGTCACATCCTTGGATTAAATTAAGGGTGGAAAAAATTAACAACCCTTTTAGTTAATTTGTGCACCAATATTTCATGTCAAATTTTAGAGCTATTGGTTTCTTGGATGTTTGCAGGACCAAAGTTATCCGAATCTGCTAGAACTTTCACCATTGTAAACAATTGCAAAGAGACAGTCTGGCCTGCAGTGATTCCTGCGGACAACTTCACTGCTGGTAGTTTTGTGCTAAAACCGGGCCAGTCAATCCTGTTCACTGCCCCAGTTAGCTGGTCTGGCAGGATATGGGGTCGAACAGGCTGCAACTTTGACAAAAATGGCAATGGCTCGTGCCAGACCGGCTGTGGCAGCACCCACCAGTGTGGAGCCTCAGCAAAGCCCCCAGCAACACTCGCTGAATTCACATTGGCCAAGCAAGACTTTTATGATGTGAGCCTTGTTGACGGGTTCAACCTGCCGTTGGTTGTGACACCTCTAAATGGTACGGGAAATTGCAGTGTATCTGGTTGTGACACGGACCTGAGACCGAATTGCCCGAAAGAGCTAGCTGTCAAGGCAAATGGGAAGAATATTGGATGCAGAAGCGCGTGTGACGTGTTCAACACAGATGAGTACTGCTGCCGAGGGCGTTATGGCAATGCTGCGGTGTGTAAACCCACATATTATTCCAAGAAGTTCAAAGAAGCATGCCCTACTGCCTACAGTTATGCTTACGATGATCCGACCAGTATCTTTACTTGCTCGGGCACAGATTACGTCATCGCTTTCTGCTCAACCAGGTTTGTCATCAGCTAATTACATGCACAAAAACTGTTTTAAATCTCTCTTTGGGATTTGGATGCAGTGATTATATAATCGAGGGTTGAAATAAGAAAAGATTTTGAACATTGAAATTTGATTCTTGTTCATGTATTTGTATCTTCGGTAATGTTTTCTTGCCAAATATATGTGCGCTCTTGATGCTGCGCGCTTTGCAAATAAAAATTGATCAATGTTTTAGCATTTTGTATCTGATTTTTTTTCCCTTGTGGTGTAAGTTATTCACTTTTATTGTTGTCATATGCAGGAAGCAACCGATGTGCACATATCGCCACCACAAGATTCCGTGTCCTAATGTATCTGGATCAGTAGGTTTAAAGTCATTGAGGTGCGCTCTTGATGCTGCGCGCTTTGCAAATAAAAATTGATCAATGTTTTAGCATTTTGTATCTGATTTTTTTTCCCTTGTGGTGTAAGTTATTCACTTTTATTGTTGTCATATGCAGGAAGCAACCGATGTGCACATATCGCCACCACAAGATTCCGTGTCCAAATGTATCTGGATCAGTAGGTTTAAAGTCATTGAGATGGTGGGCTGTGATGCTTGGATTGTTAACGATGATTAATTTATGGATTAATTTTTGAAAAAATAGTATTTTTCCTCTCCAAGTTTAGAGGTGTATTTTACATCCCTTTTGAACTTAGAAGCAGCACTTCAAAAGAAAAACTTTATTTCAGAGTATTTTCCATGCACCATGCTGGTTGGTTGTACAAGTGAAGTTGTTCATTTTATTCTTTTCTTTTCAAAGAGAATATATTTGAATGCAGTTTCTTTACACAAACTTTGCTCGTCTCCACTCTCATCTTCAACATCATAATAAACAAGAGATAAGGTTGAGTTATTAGGTCTAGTTTGGTATTGCTACGTTTTTTGTAAAAAAATATTTTCTTAAAATATACTTTGTATAAGTGTTGTGAATAGAAAAATAATGTTCAAGTGTTTGGTAAATTTTTCTATAAATTTGCAATAACTAAGACAGTTAGAAGGGTTGAAGGTCCGGGAAGAGGTGGAGGCTCAATTACACGAGAACCCCCGCCAGCCCTGGGACTAGCTTGCTTTCGTAGGGTCCGAATTTGGATCTTGGCATGTCGGTGGTTTTTAACCGTAGGCATCTTTGCCACGAAGTTGATGGGCTCATCGTGAATCATGAATAACCAAAAAGGACATTGATTTTAATTTTATTTTTCAGTAAACTAATATAAATTTGGAAATATATTATAAAACATAAAATCTGAAGAAAAAAACTAAAACATAAAATTAAAATTAATTCCAAGAAATTAATTCCAAGCAGACCCACCCCACCCATTCAAACCCCCTCCACGACCAGACCACCCATCCAAACAACCACCACGACCAGACTATCCATCCAAACTGCCGGACAACCCATCCAAACCGCCATCGTGACCAGACAACCCAACCACCACCCAGCCCAGCTCCTACCCTCGCCTAATGGCCCTAACCCACTTCCACAACTCGCAGCCACCACATTGGCGTGCCCATCTCAATTTACCATTGGTGCAAGCATCTCGATCTATCTTTCCCAATCAGCAGCCATACCCGCTTCTATGTGCACTCTCTCACTCTAGTCATCTAAGCAAAGGATTTCGGTCTCATGAGATAGCAAGCAGGAGCTTGGAGGAGGCGGCGAGCAGAAAGAAAGGGCCTTAATTGTGAAAAAACAAGAATTTTTTGCTTACCAAAGATATAATACAGCCCAGCATTTTTTCAGAGGAAAACTAATGAAAAGGGCTTGAAAACTTTGAGTTTTAATGATAAGGACAAAATAAAGGGTAAAGTGAATAGTACCAGGATTGACTTTTTAGTGTAAAAATGTGGTTTTTCATTAAAGTGAACAGTACCAGGTGTTTTTCGTTAAAGTTCCCTTTTTTCAGACATGCTTTTAAAAGAATTTAAGCACTCCCAAACTAGACCACCGACGGTTTCTAATATACTTGGGTAATTCGTTTCGATCTGTTAAAAAAAAATTATTTTGATAATTTTAAAGTTTAATTACTAAAAGATTTATTATAAAATACAATAGTCATATTAATATATACAATATATTCTATATTAAATATATAGTTTTGTATTATTATTCTATATAAGTTTAAAAAAAAGTTTTAGTCATTATATATTTTTATTATAAGAGTTCTTTATTATCATTACTATGATATATTTTACTTAACATGTTGTTGTCCAAAATTAAAATAAACTAGTATAATATTTGTATAGACAAGAACTAAAAAGACATACATACAAGTATGAAAAATGTGAAAGAATATATAAACACTCGTGATTCATCATTATTCCTCCACGAGTAGATAATGGTTACACTTACATTATCATTTAGATTTTTAAAGCCCTCCAAACCCTCATGAATAATGTTTTTATTTGAGGGCAAAATTAATAAAATTAATAATAATTATTGTAGAAGTGTAAAAAATGTAAAATATATATATATATATACACACACAATCACTCATAGTGACAAGCTTTACAACTTTCATGAAGGGATCAGCTTCGAAATCCAACATTATAATCCATAAACCTTAAATTTATATTTAACCGTCGATTGTCATTTACGTTTTATTCTTCTTACTGAATTTCATTTTTTTAATTTTCTTTTTTGAAAACATGATCATCTGGCGGATGTAAGAAGATGAACGGTTCAGATCTTTGATATCATGTTTTGATATTTACGGTTAACTGAAATATGAGTCGATGTCATATAGTTTGTAAAAACCTTATAAACATCAAGCAATATTTTCACTAATCGTAAAACTCTGAATATAATATCAACGATCCAAACCGTTCATCTTCCTGCATCCTCTAATAGATCATGTTTTCAAAAAAGAAAATCTGAAAAAACAAAATTTGATGAGAACAATGAAGCGTAAATGTAAACAATAATCAACGGTTAAATTTTGATCTATGATTTATATGATTATAGTGGCGAATTTCGAAGTTAAGCCCTTCATGAAAGTTGTAAAGCTTGTCATTACGAGCGTTTATATATTTGTTACACTTCTACATTAATGAAAAAACTATTAAAGACTTTACTAAATAACAGCTGTAAGATAAATGAGAGTAAATCTGCACCGTTGGATTCTATTTCACTTACATTATTAGAATTTTTTAGGACGAAAAACCCCTCCTCTATTCCAATATTTTCCAATTTTACCATTTGATCAATTTAGGTAAGCAAAAATATACTTAAAAGAAAAATGTGTTTTTATGTTTTGGATGTGACAATATGGTATGTATATACTTATTTAGTATTATGTTTTTCATTTGATTATTTATTGGTTTAAAATATATTTTCCTTAACGGGTAACGGATCGGGTCATATTACCTGTTAATATTATCGGGTCGATTTCGATCGGGTCATTTTACCCGTTTATTTTAACGGGTGTTACACGACACGACCCGTTAAGATATCGGATATGACACGAAAACGACATGAACACGAAAAACACGACACTAATGCCAGGTCTGTCCCAAACTAGTACTAAGTCCTTCAAATAAATAAAGTCAACTTATGCTTGCCAACTACCACTTCTTCAAAAGGGGTTCTATGTAGAAATCTCATAGATGACAGTTGTTCATTAATTAAAAATGATAAGTCATAAAAGACCTAAGTTTAGCCATAATGGCTAGAGCAATGTGCTCTACCATTTGAACTCAAGTTTGAATCCCATGAATTCAGTATTAGTATCCTATCAGTTGTTAAATAAGAATGTGGGTCATGGGTTTGGATCTTTGGTCCAGTTGGGTCTAATAAACTCAAACCTAAGTCCCAAACCATTTCAATGTGTTTAGTTCAATCATGTTGAATCAGATTGTGAACAACTTAAATTTCCTATTTTATATCATATCAGATACAATAGCATGAGTTTTTAAGCTTAAACTTACATTCACATGTAGTGAAGGTCGCTTATAAACGATCGTGTTAAGTTCAATTCCTAGCATGAGTGAGATGATGTCATAGTTGCAAGTGCTTTGTCAATGCTTATGATTTTCATTAAACATAATGATCTTTTATTGTATCTCTATTATGATGTCATGTAGGGAACTTTAGAAGAATGTTTTGGGTTGTCGAATGATGTCATCCAATCCAATAAAACAAGGAAAATCTGAGAGTTAACTAGTGATGTCACGGTTAATTTGGAGCATTGTCGTTCATAATTCAGTGAAGTAGTAACTGGAAATGGAGTTATTTGCATACATGTCATGTGTGGAGAAAAAGCCTCTAGCTATCCCATCCATTATCTTATTTCTCAAATTTGTTTTACAATCTGTCTAGTTTTTCATACTTGTTTGTTTGTTTCAACTTCGTCCAAAACTCAATCCCCCTTTACTTTAGTGTGTCTAATTAGTTAGAATCTGTTTTAATTTGTGTTTTTAAATATTTTGATTCAAGTAAAAGTCAATTTTCGTCCAAAGTCATTCCTAGTGTCTAGTTTAAGTTTATTTAGTTGTTCTAAGCTGGTTTGAGTATTTTAAGTTTGCTTTGAGTCTTGTGAGTCTTGTTAAGTATTTTTAAGTTTAGTTTTATGTTTTTGAGTCAGTTTAGAGGTTATTAGCAAGCCCTCCTAATCCCTGGTCCAGAACGATCCCTACTTATACTTATACTACAGTTGTCAAAAGATGGTTAAATTTGTGTGTTAAGATAATTTTTGCATCAGGCTTGCACCACAATCTCTTGCTCAATAGTGTGGAAGCAAAATTTGTATATGTTGTCTCTCCCACATTTTCAAATTTCTAGTTTCCCAAGAAAAAAAATTGGGAAATTCAACAAAGCTTCATCAATGGAGGACAACTACAAATTCTCAAAAGCTTCACACTATCTTGATCAAGATAGTGTGAAGCAAAATCAATTCGTGGTACCCAACAAAGCTTCACCACAAAAGCTTCACCAACAAAAGCTTCATCAATGGAGGACAACTACAAATTCTCAAAAGCTTCACACTATCTTGATCAAGATAGTGTGAAGAAAAATCAAGTCATGGTACCCAACAAAAGCTTCAACTCCAAAGCTTCACCTACAAAAGCTTCACCCATAATAGCTTCACCTACAAAAGCTTCACCCATAAAAGCTTCACCCACAAAAGGTTCACCCATCACAAAAGGTTCACCCACAAAAGCTTCCCCCAACACAAAAGCTTCACCAACAAAAGCTTCACCTACAAAGCTTCAACATAAAAGCTTCACCTACAAAAGCTTCACACTATCTTGATCAAGATAGTGTGAAGCAAAATCAATTCATGGTACCCAACAAAGCTTCAACCTCAAAGTTTCACCTACAAAGCTTTAAAATATATATATATATATTTATTTTTTTTTTCGGAAATTCGAAAATTCGAAAATTCGAAAATTCGAAAAATAGAAAATTATAAAAAAAAAATTCGAAAAAAAAATTGCCTAGGCCTCTTCTTCTTTGGGCCTAACAACTTTCATAACAAATATATATGAAGAAGAAGTTTTGGGCTACCATTTAGAAAGGAAACGCCTCATTCGTCAACTCCCTTGACCGGAGACTTGGGGGACTCCTACCACATGCTACTGCACCTTGATACTCGGAAGTCTCACGACCACTCAGTGACTAGGATTTTTCAAGTCTCCAAACAAGAAGTTTTCCTCACTTGGGAAATTAAGGGAGCAGTACCTCAACCTACATGCTTCACTCATAAAGCTTCAACATACAAGCTTCAACAAAAGGAAAAATTCAAAGAACTTAGTGAAGAAGGCATTGGTGTATTTAACACAATACGTCAGAAATAA